TTCAATTGGCAATTTTTAAAAAGGACATGATTTCCCTATTCAATGTATGCTACACCCTGAAAAGACAAGTTAATTTTAGAAGACCCATGACTTACTGTATATCACAATACTCTGTTTTTTGAGACAGGATCTCTCTACAGAGCCTTGGATGTCCTGGAATTCAGACATCCTCCAAGCACATGGCCACACTTGCACAACTACAGCTAAAATTTGAGCTCAACATAGAATGAACAATAAACATAGCAATCAAGAAATAAAAGATGCTTAGAATTACTTGGTCAAGCATATTCTCTTTAAATAAAACAAGTCATAATACTGAATCCTATTTGCAGTATCTATATAGTCATCATATAATTATATATATTCATACCTCAACAATGCCTGACTCTTGTCTTTGCTGGATTCTTTTCCTCCACCTCATTGCTGCAAGCGCTAGTTTTTGTTGGTGCTCAGTGACGTCAGTGAGAGCATCCAGGATGGAGCTACTTCCCCATTCATAGTCTTCTTCCTAGAAAAGCAGCCCAGTGAACATAGTACAGTGTTAGGCACAGGTTTCTGGCTCTAAGAAGCCTTCAGTCTATAAGATCAAAGCTGTATGTTCAATTGTTATAGAGAACACTAAACATTTTGTGAACACACAGGAAATACAGATTCATTCAGTTTTATGTTCAGAATCAAGTACAGCTGGCTTTTAATTAAAACCAGAAATTTATTTCCCAGAGTCAAACCCCTTGGCCAGACAGCTTTATTTTGGCAACTGAGTAATAGTCAGGGTATCTGGCTTCATGGGACCTCGGTCAGAGGAGCCATGAACTGAGACAATTCCCAAGGAACTCAGATTGGAAGCTTCAGGAAACGACAGCATAGATTCTGTGCTGGCCTGTTTGTGATAATGAGCTAACAGTAAGAAAAAGGCTTACAATGAGAGATCTTGAAATTGTCTCATGTTAAGAGAACATCATTTCAATAAAAAATGCTGACAAATTAGATAACAAAAATTTAGTAGGCCATAATGAAGTTCATTTTTGTATGCCAAACAAAACATTTAAGAAAAAGGAATGTGAGGCCCGGAGAGATGGCTCAGCCGTTAAAGGCTAGGCTCACAACCAAAAACATAAGAAAGAAATGTGAATAAAGCAACCTGACCTGTAAACTCTGTTTTGTTATATACACAGTTGGTGTTATCTATCTGGCTACATGTGGTCATTTGCATTATATGCATGGAAAGTGTATGAGCAGGGATCTCTTGAGACATTTATACAAGAAACAAGCTTCCTAGGAATGTGAATACACACCTGCACAAAGCACCCAGCTGTCCTGCAAGCTTCCAGGTAGGAGCGATGAAGTACCCACTTGCCAGCTGCCATGGAGGCTAAGTACTTCTCATTTCGCAAGGGATAGCCCACAACCATGTGTGTGCAGTTGGGGTCTGAGCACTGTTTCTCAATCACTGACCCACCTTGTGGAGAGAAAACATTTTGTGAGTACACAGGAAAAGCCTCTACTAGGTTTCTTACCATCTTTCTAGAAAACTAAGTCATTTCAACTGTGCTTAAAATTACTTATATAAAATGAACAGCCTAAATGAAAAATGTTGACATATAGGCATGTAAAAATAATGTTCACTTCAAATTATCACCCCTCATCTCTGCCTTTAGCACATTAAGTCCTAGTGATTTGAAATGTAGATTAAGGTTTTATAAAACTCAAAATTCCAGTGCTGACTCATGAACCCTTGAAATTCAGGGTTTCATATGCATGCACCAAGTACTCTATACTAAGCCACACTATCCTCAGTCCTATTCTTTACTTAAAAAAAAAAAAAAAAAACAAAAAACAAAAAACAAAAACAAACCTACTTTTTTACTATTTATGTGTACGGATGTTTTGTCTGCATTCATAGCTGAGTGAGACATACAGTACCCATGGAGGCCAGAAGAGGGCATTGGATCCCCTAGAACTGGAATTACAAGGTGGTTGTGAGACACCATGTGGGTGCTGGGACTAGAACCCTAGTCCTTTACCAGTGCTTTTAACCCAGAACTATCGTTCCATCACCTACTCCTTTATTTCAAACAGGGTCTCACTGTGCAGCCCAGTCTGACCTCAAACTTTAAATCCTGTTTCAGTCTCCCAGCTGCTAGAATCACCAATGCTTAGCTCTGTCATTTCTGAGTGTTTTCTTTTGCTATGCCAAGCTGTGAGATCAAGGCCTCACAGTAACTATGTTGACTTTATTGAGCTATTAAACAACAACAAAAAAAGTAGTGCAGATTGAGGTGGCTGTTTCAAAGGAATAAAAAACCAAAATGCCTGTAAAAACATTTCACTGGTACTTTATACTGATTAAATGCTGAGTATCAGTTTTCATATACTAAAAAAAAAAAAAAAAAATGTTTTTAAAGGTAATTTCACCTATTTCTTCTTAGTTCCCAACATATGGCTACTAGGCAGTGTGGTGTGTGACCCAGGTGGCTCAGTCCTGTTCCTAGGGCAGTCTGTCTACATTAGGTCTTTTAGCTCGCCTCTCCCAGGTGTCAAGAGGAAAAGTCTAATAGCTAGGGATAAGGGTAATGTTACTAAAAGGAATCCTAAATGCTGGGAGGCTCATGTCACCAGGCTCAGCTAAATCTGTAAATTCTTAGGTCACATGACAATAGTAATTTTAGATGTAGATTAGATCTTTGTAAAATCAAAATCCTAATGCTGACTCAATGTGTGGACTTAAATAAGTTACCCATGTTCTTTTCTCTCCCATTACACATGATAAACAACTGCATTTGTATTCTAGTAATACAGTTGTAATAAGGGTATGTTTTAAATTAAAATGCCAAAAGAAAAAAAAATTTAAACAAATGTGAAATACTGGTACCAAGTTTTTTAATCAGGTGACAGTAATCAATCCGCTCTTGAGAATTCAGAGACGACATCTGGAACACATATTGCTTAAGTTTTTCATGACTCTCCTCCACTGTTTCGATCTAGAATGCAACAGTTATATTTGAAAAATTAATATTAAAACTATTTTCAGTACAGCTATTTCATAGTGACATTTTAGTCATTCTTCTATGGCACAAATATATAAATTGTATTTCAACCAAAGAAATTTAGTTTTCAGTAGTGACGAGTCTAAAACAGAGAACGAATTCCTACTCCAGCATGAGAACAACACTCAAAGCTGCCATCACCATAGCAAGGATTAACAAACCTTGTCCATAGTCTGTGGAGCTACGGGAGGCTTGGCCAAGGGGAAAGCAATGCTGGGAGCTTGTGGCACAGGGACTGGATGCTTATCTGTTGCTGGAGTTTCTGGTTCTTCAGGGATTGGGTGTTCTGGGGCTTCAGTCACACACAAGGCTGAGAGTGAAATAAAAAATACAGTGTGATAGTGTACAAATGTAATTTAGAACAAATTCTAGAGAGTATTCTCATTTGTCTTGGTCAAAATAAAACAAACCACGAACTCTGCAATACAGAAGTATACAAAGGCTGAGACGAAGTATGGTGGTGTCTGCCTGTAACACCTGCAACCTGGAGCCCGAGACAAGAGAATCTCAGGTTTAAGACCTGCAATACATGAATGAAGAAGAGAGCAGCCAACTTCTCCAAGTTAAAAATAAATGCACGTGTTATCTGGGTTTTATACACCCCTTCCTTTCATCCAGCACAGGAAGATACCAGTGTGAACAAACAAACAAAAGGAACTTAGAAAAGCTCACAAAAGCAAAAGAACAGACAAAGGATAAGCTGGGTGGAATTCAGAGAGTTAAATAAAAGTGAGTTACAGGGAAAAAAACAAACACTACCTAACAGAAAGACTGGAAAGAAAGAACTGCTGTGTGAGCCATGTCTGTAGAATGGCTAATCCTAAATTTCTACATTTGAAGATAAAAAACAGTTTTCAGTTGAGTTATACAGCACTAAACTTGAAGATCAAAGAAAGTTTTCAATTGACTGATACAGTACTAAACATTTGTCATTTGTATGTACAATACAGGTAGCCACAATATCTTTAAGATATCAACATGCATATAGTACAAACAGGGTGTTTTGTTTTGTTTTTGGTTTTTCTAGACAGGATTTCTCTGTGTAACAGCCTTAGCTGTCCTGGAACTGGCTCTGCTGGCTCTGTAAATCAGGCTGGCCTCGAGCTCACAGAGATCCTCCTGCCTCTGCCTCCCAAGTGCTGGGATTAAAGGCGTGTGCCACCACCACCAGGCCCAAACAGGTAGTTCTTATTACCCTGCTCAGCAATTTCTGAATGGTACACAGGCTCTTGAGAAGGAGAATCATCCAGTTTTTTAACATCAACCTGAAGTTCAGAAAACTGTGTAGGGTAGCTAGGCCACTGCAAGTTGCTGGCGAGCCTTGCTCTCTCCTCCCTTGCTGTCGGATCATCCCAAATGATCTGCTCGTTCTGGGAGGGCTCTGTGTTGATATCAGGCACTATCTGTCGAGACTGCCTAAGGAATAAAAAGACAATTTTAAATAAGTCACTATTGAATCCGAGGGCATAAAATCTGTGAGCAGTATAGATTCATAATATTTGTTGAATAAATCAATCTAAGACTTTTTTTTCGGGGGGGGGGGTATAGGGTCTCTTTATGGAAGAGTGCATCTTTAAACTTGAGGTAACCCTCCAGCTTCTACCTCTCAAGTGCTAAGATTATAAGCATGCATCCTAGTTTGCATTACACTGCTGTGATAAGACGCCATGACCAAAAGCAACTTGGCCAGTAAAAGGGTTTATTTAGCTTACAGCTCCAGCCCCATCACTAAGAGAGGTCAGGGTAGGAACTCAAACAAGAACCTGGGGTCAAGAACTAAAGAAGTGATCAATCAGAGAAGAGTGCTACTTAATGGTTTGCTTTCCACGGCTTGCTCAGATTGCTTTCTTATATGGCCCAGGACCACCTGCCTAGTAAAGTACCACATAGTGGGCTGGGCTCTCCCAGTCAGTCATTAATTAAGATATTCCACACATTTACCACATAGCCATGGGAGGGAGGCATTTTCTTTTCTTTTCTTTTTCTTTTTTTTTTTTTGGAGACAGGGTTTCTCTGTAGCTTTGGAGCCTGTCCTGGAACTAGCTTGGTAGACTAGGCTGGCCTCGAACTTCAGAGATCCACCTGCCTCTGCCTTCCAAGTGCTGGGATCAAAAGCATGCATCATCAATGGCCAGCTTCTTTGTTTTTTTTTTTTTTTTGCATTTTCTTAAATGAGGTTTTATCTTCCTAGATGCTCCTAGCTTGTGTGAAGGTTACAAAAACCTAGCCAGCATAGCATGCACTAATACATCCAACTAATTATTTTTAAAATATTTCTACTAGAAATTTTAAAAAATTATCTGTCATCTTTGCTTTCATTTACTTATTTATTTTTGGTTTTTTGAACCAGGGTTTCTCTGTGTAGCCCTCACTGTCCTAGAACTTGATCTTAAACCAGGCTGGCTTCAAACTCAAGAGATCTGCTTGCCCCTGGGATTAAAGGCATGCGCCACCACTGCCTGGCTCTATTTCATTTTTATTTTATGTGCATTGGTATTTTGCCTGCATGTATGTTTGTATGCTAATGTCAGATCCCCTGGAGGTGGAGTTACAGGCAATTATGTGCTGCCATGTGGGTGCTGGGAACTAAACCCAGGTCTTCTGGAAGAATAGCTAGTGGTCTTAACAGAGCCACCTCCCCAGGCCCCTCTACTGGAAATTTAAAGTGACTGTCTATATATGTTTATTTTTAAAAATCACTTTTGTTTCTAAATTCTAAAAACTGCTGCATTTAAAAGTGGGATTTTTTTTTTAATTCTTTGAGTCAGAGAAACATAGTAATGTTTGGGAAAACCATAGTTATTGGGTTTAATAATTGCATTTTAAATTTTCTTTTAAAGATAGGTATGTACCCCAGCGTGGCCTCTACTTGCTCTGTAGTAAAGGCCAGCTTCTATGTGCTAGATTATGGGTGTGTACCACCATGCATACACATCACACACATCCACACATTAATATTATATTTTTAAAACTGTTATAAGTACCATGTACACCCTTAGTGTTTAGTGTTAACACTAAGCAACAGAGAGGATTGACTGCCCACTGAGTGTACTTCAAATGGAAAAGTGGATCCTAAAATCATAAACCTCAAAGTAAGAATTGTACAACTGCTAAGCAAGAAGACAGGGGAGCATCCAGTCAGCAGAGGATGAAACCAAAGATGACGATGGGATATAACACATACTATTTGAGTTAAATAAAGCCCCAGTGTAAACGCCTTCACTGGTTTTAATGTTCTAAACTGCTGCTTTCTTTTAAAATAATAATTATAAGAAAATTAACCTAGCCTCAGTGAGGAGTTTTCATGCTCCCAATCCATGCCCGCCCAACAAGCACAAACCTGAGTGCCTCCAGGACTCGACTTCGTCCGCTCCGAGCAGAGCGTGCGCTGTCAGGAGTTGAAGAGGCACTGTTGCAACTGCTTCTTGACAGGCAATTCCTCTGCGCCTGCATCTTCACGATGCAGGTTGCTGACATGATCTCTTGCAATTGCTTCTGGAAGTTTTCTCTCATCTCCAAGGCCTGTGTCAGAGCTTGAAACACATATAGGAGTCAATATCAATCAAGAGACATCTGTCCCCTCTCCCTCCCCCTTGCAGGTTTTGAAGCAAGGCTCCCAGTGTATAGTCAGGCTGACCTCCCACTTGTGATCCTTCTGCTGCCATCTCTAGAGTGCCAAGGTTACTTGCATCACCATATCCTGTTATAAACATCTCTCATCAGTCATCTTACATTATTTTGTCTAAATCTGGTTGAACAACAAAATTTGTTGACATTTACTTAATACTTACATAGGAATGTAATGCTAGAGATGTCACAAAACATGAAGGCTGCCTTGAGACTGTATCTAAAATAACGAGGACTCCCTTGGAGGAATACTTGATCAGTCCCTTTGAAGAGCTCCCTGCTTGCTTCTGACCCTTTCTCGTTGTGCGAACTACCCTGAGATTCATACAGTCACTGGCATGTACCTGACTGTCTTCAATAGCTCTACTTGTTTGTTTGCTTTGGGATACAAGGTCTTGCCACACAGCCTAGGCTGGCCTTGAACTCCCCTCTTGCTTCAGAGTCAAGTTTTGGGATTACTGCTGTAAAGCACTAACTAAACTTTGACTAATCTTTGCACACACCGATCACAACATTTTTATCTTTCCTTTCCATTATAGATAAGACACAGATAGATACCAAGTATTTTTGGAATGAACAGAATGGAATAGGTAAGAAGGAAAGTTCTAGTAGGACAGAACAAATAAAAGTTCAAAATATCTTGTCAATGTTGATTAACAAGAGACAGCAAACTAAAGAAGGGCAGTCCACATGCTGCATACTACAACAATTAAAACTAAGATGACTGAAGCAGATCCTGGCACAGACACATGCTTCACAAATACTATTCTATGGCTAACATGTGTGGGTTGAAGCTTGGTGGGTGGCAAGGTGTAGTGGTTAGAACCCTTAAGAGATGAGGCCCAAGGTAAGCTGGCTGGATCACTAGGAACACTGCCCCAGAATGGGTTAATGCAGTGTCCAGGGAACTCTGGCTAGTTCTGTTGTGAGCCACTATGACAAGAATAAAGCCCTGTCTAACTTGCTTCCAGTCTTTCCATGTAATGACAGACACCACTTGCATTCTTTCCCTTTCTGAGAAACGTTCCTGCCTTGATGGGATGTAGCCAGGTCTTCACCAGAGTCCAAATGGATCAAGTTTATATTTCATCCCCTAAGTCTATTTTGAGCTAAAAATGTCTCCTTTCCTTATATATTACCCAGCTCCAGGCATTGTTTTATAACAACAGAAAACAAAACATTCAAACATTGCTTTTTCTTAACAAACTGAAGACTCTGGAAACCATAGATGTTGCTACTTTGTGAACCACACTTGTACAAAGAGCACACTTAAATGATGTTTGTGCGCTCTGACTGGCTATTCCCCATCTCTCTCCTTGGGACTTCCTTAATCCCCAAGAAACAACAATATTAAAATTAGTTCACTTAATACCCTACAATGGCTTAAGCGTTCAAGTGAAAAAAATAGTCACACACCTCTATCTACCTCTAAAGTAAAGCTAGCAATGACTAAGTTGAATGAGAAAGGCATGCACGAGAAAGCTAACTTAGGTCAAAGGCCGTGCCTCTTATGCAGTTAAGCTTGGAATTCAAAGGGAAAGTTCTTGGATGAAATTCAAAGTGCTACTCCAGTGAGACATAGCTTATCACTGACATGAAGCTGCAGACGGCTGCACTTAACAGCTGACCCACACTACAAGGAGATGCCTCTCCAGGGCTGGTTAACTAGAGAGAAGTCAGTGTCTTGCTTCAAAGCTAGAAGGCCAACCCAGCTTTCTTATTAGTGGCAAATAAAGCTGGGGCTCTAAGTCAAAACCAATGTTCTCAAAAGTAAAAAGTGAAGCTGGGTGTGGTGGCACAGGCCTTTAATTCCAGCACTCAGAAAGCACAGACAAGCAGGTGGATCTCTGGGTTCAAGGACAGCCAGGATTAAACAAAGGCAACTTGGAGGCAAAAAGTGAGGAAGTGTCTTACCCCCTTTGCAGTCATTTCTTCCATTCCCATTCAATAGTCCTGATTCTTTGTTATCCATGACCATGCTGTTTGTCTCATTTTCTTCTACAGACAAATGATCTGGCTACTCAAAGACAAAAATTGTAATATCTCAAACAAAGTCACTGCATATTTCCTAAAGGTCTGTTTTCAGCTTAGGGGGACATAATATCCACACTACCAACCTCATCGTCCTTAGATGCAGGAACTGCAGAGGGTACCCGGCTATTACAGAGCCAGCCATCTTGTACTGTACTGATGTCCAGGCTCATTTTGGGATTGTAAGTGTGTGGATAAAGAGATTCAGGAAGATGCTTATACTCTTGAGCACACTGAAATACAAGTGCAAGTTTTAGAAAGCAGTTTATAGTGAACAACTCTATCATGTAAGTAACCAACTGGGGCCTGGGAAATGACTTAGCCAGTAAATGTTCTTGCCCTATTTATCTCGTGACCTAAATTTAATCTTTGGAACCATATAAAAGTGGAAAGGAATGCAATGACTTCCCCACATACCCATGCATACATAGTAATATTTTGTTTTGTTTTATTGAGGCAGGGTTTCTCTGAACTGCTTTGGAGCTTGTCCTGGAACTAGCTCTGTAGACCAGGCTGGCCTCGAATGAACTCACAGAGATCAACCTTCCTCAGCCTTCTGAATGCTGGGATTAAAGGCATGTGCCACCGATGCCCTGCCACATAGTAATAAATTAAACAAATAAAATATAACAAATCGCCCTCACTTTTGAAATGCACTGCCCACTACAGTATAAATTCTAATTCAGCCTCTGCATCTAGCAAAGCATGAATCAACCACTCTAGGGAGTACCAAGAAAAGAAGCACAGCTATAAAGTCCATCAACATGCTAAATCAACTCTCCCCAAATACATATCTTTGCATCTTTTGTTTTCATATAATTTTAAAATTACACTTCTATCTATTTATACTGTGGGGGAGAGCTGGGTTGGTGCACATGTGGAGTGCGGAAGTCTGGGGATACCTTGTGGGAGCTGGTTCTGTCTTTCCACTGTGTGGGTCCCAGGAATCAAATTTATTTGTCATGCCTGGTGGTTAGAGCCTTTACCTTCCAAGCCATTTATTTTACTCACTCTTCATATAATTTTCAGTAAGAGAAAGGAATCAGAATAAAAGTATTCACTTAAAATTTGGTAAATATTTAAGCAATAAAGACCTTAAGTTCTGAGGCTAAAGAAATACAATGCTCCCAGCATGGCCTATGTACAGCTCACATCTTGGGAGTCCCCAAAGATCCCCATGTTGTAAGCACAGTCCACATCATGTCCGACAGGCCCCGTGGGGTGTGTCCCAGAAGGGGGCAGTAGGATCGGAACCTTTCTGGCATCTCTTTTTATTTCCCCGCTATCAAGAGGACAGTTAGTGCCATGCTACCACACAGCTAACCAAGGGCACATTTTCTTGCATTCACTGAATGCAAGTACTATGAAATGTTTGTACATTTTCAATCAATCAGGAGGGGAAGGAAAAGGCACTGCTTACCTCTAAAAGCCAATGCTCGGAAACAATATGCACCCCTCTTTCTTTTGCAGATTTATATTCTCGATTACTATCATTTGCCCGACCCTGATAAATGAAATGAGTCACTGACTCATCAAAACTCCACCTGAAACAACCAGATATGGCAAAAGGAATAACTAAGGAAAATACCAGTCCACTCGAAATAGAATATTCTGACACACAAAACTCAAAACTAGGGGATAGGCAATAGTAAAATACCAGGTTTGCATCCTGACAAATGTTAATACTCCATTTTCAGGAACACAATGTAGGAAGATATTAGAAGGATATTTTAAAAATATTACTATCTTCTTCACACTTTTAAAAATTCTACTTTCTTTACACTGCATATCACTTTTTAATTATAATAAAAGGTATTTTCAAATTAATAAAACTTAAGGCACTGAAATTCACTGACCAGTCACTGGCCACCACCCTGTTTATTTGCTCCATCACAAACTACCTTTGTGACTCTGTGTTGAGAACTGAGCCCAGGTCTCTGTGTATGCTAGGCAAGAACTCTATCTACCACAGCCTGACACTATGCTCCTTAAGAAAACACTGGAGATAGGATCTCATTATATAGCCCTGGCTATCCTAGAACTCACTATGTACACCCTCTCAGAGATTGACCTGCCCCTGTCTCTCAAGTGGTGGGATTAATGGGAGTAGATCACCATGCCCTACCAAGATACTTTTTTTTTTTTTTTAATTTGAAACAAACTAAAACGTTTAAAATTGCCATCTTACTCTAGGAGTGCTTACTACAGTAGTCGGTACTACTCACAGAAAATCACTAAGATATAAATTCAGTCAGTCCCAGATGTACTAACTGAACTCTGTGAGGGTAAGAACTCTTTGCTGCACATTCATGGATCACAAGTTTCCAGAATACTAACACAATACAGCTTCACAAATATGTGCTGTGTAAAATATAAGAATGAATTATTACTGTGGGGAACATTTTCAAAGACTTTGTTAAATTAAATTGGAGAGGTTTTATCAGACACTGTACTCGGCAGGCAAAACCAAGGCTTCCTTGTAAAGGAACAAAAGGCTTTTGGCTCCCTCTGAGATGTAGCTGGCACCACCAACATAAAGTTGTGCCTACCTGTACTCTGCTCCCAGTGAGGCTGCAAGCCCATTTAGTTCACTCTGCTTCTTACTGAGCTTTTTACTCACACACACCACAACTTCATCAAGTGGTTTGGGACCCTCTTCCTGTACATGGAGAATAAAGAAACAGATCAATCATGATTCTCTGACATGCATTAGTGTATTTCCCACTTAATAAGCAAATCAAGTTTACCTCTTCCAAATGGGTACCCTTTGGCTGAGGACTGGCAGAAAGAGTGCTGGTGCTTCGGGAACTATTTGCCAAAGCAACTTTCAGATTTCTGACAATGACTTCAGAGAGTGGTGAGCTCAGTTTCCTCTTCTGGGTAGTAGCTCTTGGGGTTTCCAAGGCTGCAAGAGCATCCTGTGTTTAAGGATAGGAAAAAGAAACAACAAAAGATGAAGAAGGGTACGTAAGAGGGAAAGAGAGAAAGAAGGGAGGAAAAGAAAAAAGATTACATCGTTGACTTCTTTTCCTCCCTGCCCATGGCTGGGCAGTGGTGGCAAATGGCTTTAATCCCAGCACTTGGGAGGCAGGGACAGGCGGATCTCTGGGAGTTTGAGGCCAGCCTGGTCTACAGAGTTAGTTTCCAGGACAGGTTCCAAACTACAGAGAAACTCCATCTCAAAAAACAAACAAAAAAGAATGAACTGTAATTTATATTTTTATATTATAAAGAAAAAGTTCTGTATTCTTCACCAAGCATTGAATAAGAGCTAGAGAGATGGCTCAGCAGTTAAGAGCACTGGATGCCCTTCTGGAGGACACGGAATCAATTCCCCGGCACCCACAGGTGGTTCACAACTGTCTGTAATCAGTTCCAGGGGACCTGTCATCCTCTGGTTTTCGTGGTTATCAGGTATTCACGTGGTGCAGACATATATGGTAAAACAACCACACACACAAAAATGACTTTAAAAACAGATAAACAAAACCATTAAGCTTACTTACCTTTTCAATATTGTATGCCACATTTACTTAAGAGTTGAAACTGCAATTATATAAAGGACTCTAAACCAGAATAAATATAGAAGGAAACAAATAAGCAAGGATGGCCAAGAAAGAAACTAATTTTAAGAATAGATAAAAGTCAGACTGAAACTGGCAGATGGAGAGAGGAACACACCTTTAATTGCATCCCTTGGGAGGCAGAGGTGGTGGATCTCTGTGAGTTCAAGGCCAGCTTAGTCTACAGAGAGAATTCCAGGACAGTCAGGGGTACACAATGAAACCCTGTGTATGTATGTGTGTGTTTAGTGGGGAAGGGAGAAGCGGTCAGAATGAGCCAAGAGCAAAATCTTCAAAGGTATAATATACATGCTCTGAGGGAGGAAAGGCCAAGAACTAGACATAGAGAGCTCCATGCAGGGACTGGTTCCTTCCCCCAAACAACCAACAGAGATGGAAGCCAACCAGAACTGCACCAGAGTTTGCTAAAACCTTTTACAGACAGGTGTTCCTGAGCACTGAGGAAAGGTCTAACTTCACAGCAGTGGGTGGTGACAGCTCTAGAACAGACAGATGTCTCTCATCTGGGATCTCTGCAGACTACCATGGAGGAAGCCACTCTCATGAAGCCCTATGTTGATAACAAGGACTGCATGACAGAACACAAAGATACACATGTTCAAAACTAAGTTCTTAAAAAACAGCCCTTCTTCTATAAAAGTGGATAATGAAAAGTGACACAGCTCAAAAAGGAAAGATCACAAAAGATGTGAATGACGTCAAGAATGTGAATTCAGAAACTTGGTAAACACCGAAGCCAAGTAAAAGATGCAAGCTAGAGAAATGGACAGTCAATGGAGAGGATTTACTACCTGCCACATTAACTCTAGGCTTTGACAATTCCAGAAACCTTTGAAACTATATCCAGAAATCCAGAAATGCTAGAGAGAAGGAAATGAGTGGAAAAACCTCAGCTACAGATGGAACTAAGCATAGAGCTACAGAGTAGGGATTTACTAGCTAGTTATCAGCTAACTTCACAATGGCAACTGATCAACACAATGTTTATGCTTTGCACAGCTTGGGTGGGAGAGTGCACCTACATGCACAGAGACCTTGACACATTCTCCAGCATCACACACATCATCAAGCATAGTGATCAACACCACACCACTCAGGAGATGGATGGAGACAGATGGATCATCCTTGACCACATACTGACATTGAGGCCAATCTGAGCTATATAAGACCCTGACTCAAACAAACAAAATGAAAAGCAAAGTTACAGTTTATACAATGCTCTATCGACAGAGTTCTGGTGTTTAATATACTTACTGATGTTGAGCATTCAAGGTGTTAATCTGAACTTGAAAATATTTTTCATAAACAATTTTAAAGAAAAAACAAAACAAACAGACTTTAAGGTATTAAAATAGTCTTGTTTTGTGGGCCAGGCACTCATGCTCTATATGATGCCTATATACACTGTATATTACAACTTATTCACACTGAAATCATGTTACTTTTATGATTCAAGTAAGCAGTTGGGCTAATTCGTGTTTCTTTCTTAATAAAACAACAGAAGAAAAAAAAAAAAAAAAAAAAAAGCCAAAAAAACATAAAGCACATCCTCTTCCCAAGCCTCCCATAGGCCTCTTGAAGGAAAGCTACTACCACTTAGGTGGCTTGCTCATTCTCTTTTGAATCTGCATAGGAATTTATATATACAACAAAATTTAAACTATGCCAACAAATGAATTATTTTGGTTAGTAATCTTTTAACTAGCACAATGATACAACTAACTTTACAAGCCATCTGGAACATACCAGAATAAAAGGAGATTTTTTAAGAGTTCAGGTTACTGAAATTAGCAAGACTACAAAAAACACACACCATGCGCTATTGTTATTGCCCTGGATTGCCTCCCAGAGGTTGACGTTAAGTCCCTATTGCTGAAGACTACACAATTCACAGGGCTCAAAAGGTGTGAGCTGGATCTGATGTCAAGCCTCCCTTCTGAGGTCTAGCTTTCATGGTATCAGAAAGTGCTGTGTAAGTTCACACGGGAGGGAAGCTATTAATAGTCCTACCCAGCTGTGATGCCTAGGAGCCACAGCAATGACCGGCATATAAGATATCCCTAAAGATGCAACAGGTGCACTTGTATCTTGGCAGTATCCAACAACTGTCTAGCTGGCTGGACTTAAGGCCCACTTAACAGGAGAGTAATCCCTGGTACTAGAAATCTAACCAATTACCTCAGGACGTGGATCTTAAGAGAATAACCTGTTACAACCACTTTATTAGAACAGCAAAATCCCTAACTGCCTTCAAATTATTTAACCTTATGCCCACAGAAATCCTCATCAAAAAATGTTCTCATGCAACAGATAGAGGGAGACCTTTACAGAAAACTAAAACTGGTCAAAAAAAATACAGGGATCACATGATCCTTGTGTACCAAGTCCCACAGCTCAGGAAACCTAGTAGAAAAGAGGAGTAAAGACTGTAAGAGTCAGAGGATGAAGAAAGAAGTCTGATGTGGGATGAGTCTCCTAGAAACAGTACGGAAGCTACAACCATGATACTTCAGCAACAAGGCTGCCTAACATTATTAAACCTAAAAACCACAACATAAACAGATATCCTAATAGGGGTCCCACTCCTAGACAAATAACTACACGCAACTGACTGCTGGGAGAGGGAGATATAATTCTTCCCAGAGATGAGTCCCTTAACTGATAATCCAACATCAAGTGGTCAGCCCTGAAATTATATACACACAGGCAATACTAAAGTACTCAGCAGGTTGTATTTATATGTAAAATGTCTGTGTGTATTTGTATGTGTGTGTAAATAAAAAGAGGCCATCAATTTGAGAAGGACTGAGGGGGGAACATGGAAGGGGTTGGAAGGAAGAAACACAAGATGGGGGCTGGAGAGATGGCTCAGTAATTAAGAGCACTTCCAAAGGTCCTGAGTTCAATTCCCAGCAGCCACAGATAGCTCACAACCATCTGTAATGAAATCTGATGCCCTCTTCTGGCCTACAGGCATATATGCAGGCAGAACCCTATTTACATAATTAATAAATCTTAAAAAAAAAAAAAAAAGCCTACAGCAAGAAAGACAGGAGGGACTAGAGGGTAGAAGAAAAGTTGTTAAGTATTATAATTAAAATTTTAAAAATTATTGGAAAATATAGACACAGACATACATGGTATAGTACAGCAGCATGCTCAGGAAACTCAAGGGAAAACTGCAGGCTAGAAAAGTTGATTCAAGCAGTATGTTAAAGAATCAGTGCCACAAAAGTTCTCAATATTCAAACCCAAGAAATAATGTACTCATGCCCACTCTAAGGAATCTACCAAACAAAATGATCCTACCAAAGATGACGGAGGCTTCAAAAATGACAGTGAACATTCCAAACACACAGAGTCAAGACTGTAAAACACATCAGTATACAGTAACTTAAAATGAAAAACAAGAATATTCCCCAGCAAGGGTATGTCCATGAACTGAAGCATGGTTGCTTTATAGTGAAAGTCAGAATGATTTAAAACCAACCAACAATAAAAGATTAAGGGGATTAAAGACATGCAACATGTCTTCTATTTTAAAGCTCACAAAACCATTTTACTGTATATTTCATTTTAAAGTGATGTTCAGAATTAAATGATCTTCCTAGAGCTGTGTTCATGTAGCTATCTGGGACTTGAACCCAAAGCCCTAACTTCACATTGTATGTGGCCACAGTTATTACCTCAGTTCTGAGCAATTTTTACCAACTATTTACCAACATCTTTGGAAGACTTTCTATTACAAACACGTGGTGATGCACAATAAGACCATTAGCATCAGCACCATTTCCTTCAAGCCTTACCGTCACATCAAAAGATGGCTTGAAAAGTTTGTCCTTGGACAGAAACTTTGATGGTGTGTCCAGGTGCAAGGAGGGCTCCCTCGTAGGTGGCTGTCCTGCTGCTGAAGAGACGGAACCCTGCTTACAGTGCTGTGATAGGACAGCATGGAAAGCTTTACTCTGAAAGCGCTTCATATCCAAAGGTGTAACAGCCACTTTTCTGTGCATGTCCAGATGTGGGTCAGGGTGTGCTGGAGAGTCTGGATTTGGATTCACTCCATTTGGTAGCTTAGTTTCTAATACTTGTTCTACAGATTGAAAACGAAAAGAAACAAATAAGCCACTAATTTCAGCTTTTTCTTTCAAATAAAGCAAAGTGACATTTTTATATTTTGTTAGGTTCCACATATTGTTTTAATATACTTTAAACCATAAAGTTACACTCCTATTTTCCAAGAAGCAAAGCAGATGAACTTATTTTTTGAGACAGGTCTCTATATTCTTGCAGTTGTGGCTAACCTGTTGACATTGCAACAAAACATTGGCATCTTCAAAGAGAACCCCACAATCAGGGTTTAAAAAAAGGTGGGCGGTGGTGGTGGTGGTGCACTCCTTTAATCCTAGCACTTGGGAGGCAGAGGCAGGCAGATCTCTGTGAGTTCAAAGTTAGCCTGGTCTACAAGGAAAGTTTCAGGACAGTCAGAGCTGTTACACAAAGAAACCCTTGAAAAACCAAAGCAAACCAAACAAACACACAAACAGTTAATTTTGGGTTACACTTGAAGCCATCTTTGTATGAATACAGAGCACAGGCCACTGAAGGGTAAACCTCCTGCCTTAGCCTCACAAATGTTGGGGTTTAGATGTACACTACAAATCCCTCCTTCCAGACGATATATTAAAATATATGTCGAGGACTGAAGAGATGACTCAGTGGGTAAAGTGCTTACTTTGCAAAAACAAAGACCTGAGTTCAGGTCCCCAGTACACACATGAAAGCTGGGAGCTGTAGTGTACACCTGTAATTGCAGTACTGGTGGTGGAGGCAGCCAGATCCCTGAAGTTCACCTCATCAGTGAGCTCCAAGTTCAGTGAGACGCCCCATCTCTAAAACCAAAGTGGAGCATGATAAAGGAAGACACACAATGTTGACCTCTGATTACAGGTATGCACATGCATATATCACATATACAAATACAAATAAAACACAAATATATGTACTGAATTGAACACACACACATATTAACTGAAACAAATAAATATAAACCCATTTACAAAAAAAGTTTGTCAACACTGTCAAGACACAATAATAAGAAAATTCCAATTACTGTGACAATCAAACAAGTCCAGTGTGTCTAGGTTAGTAGGTAGCAGTGCTGAGGAGTTCCCAAGGTGGTGCCTGGCCACTGCACTCTGCCCAGCAACTACCACAGAGACTACTTGTGCCCTCCCATCTCTGCCTTCCGCTTCTGTTCAACATTAAAACATATTTGACTACTTCATGCCAGGCCCATTGCTAGACAACAAAAAGAATTCACAAGACGTGTATAGTTTGGAGGAGAAAGGAAAGCAAACCAGCTTCTCTAAGCAAGGACAATCCTGGAAGGAAAAAAAGAGTGCAAGAAATAGGATTGTACCTGCTGAGTCAAAGAAGGTATCTGTCCCAGAGGAATGGACATTCTAACTGAAGATAAAAGGAAGATAGCTGGGCTGGCTGGTTTTATGTCAACTAGGCATAGGCCAGAGTCCCTGGGACGTGGGAACCTCAACTGAGAATATGTCTACCATGCTGGCTTACAGGAAGTCATTTTCTTGATTGATGACTGGGAGGGCCCAGTTTACTGTGGGTCCCTGATGGCACAAGTAAACAGGCTGAGTAAGGCATGAGGAGCAAGCCAGTAAGCAGCACTCACCCATGGTCTTTGCATCAGCTCCTGCATTCAGGTTCCTGCCCCAACTTTCCTGGATGATGGATTACAAGTTGTAAAATGAAATGCTTTCCACCCCAAGCTACTTTTGGTGATGGTGTCTCATTATAGCAATGGAAAAGTAACTAAGAGAGTAGGCAAGTATTAAATCATCTTGAGGGAATACACAAAAGCCGGGCATTGGTGGCACACACCTTTAATCCCAGCACTTGGAAGGCAGAAGCAGGTGAATCTCTGTGAGTTCGAGGCCAGCCTAGTCTACCAAGCTAGTTTCAGGACAGGCTCCAAAACCACAGAGAAACCCTGTCTCAAAAAAACAAAAATAAGAACATGAAAAACAAACAAACAAAAGCAACAAGAGCACATTAGCTACACATCGTGCTAGTGTGAGCCACAATAGGAATCAACACTAAGAGGGATAGATACTCACAACTCACTTCAACACTGAGACCCTGAGTGTGCACTCACTAGCTTTCAGATCATAGTGACAGCACAGAAGCATCTGTGCTAAGAGCACACATCATCTGGACGTCACTGATACACAAGAAAGACTTACAGGACTTGCCATAAACAGCAGAAATAAGAAACTTTTCAAAGCAAGTCCTGGAACATTCTTATTTCAGAAACCACCAAGTTGTAAAATACATAAAAATAAAGAGTTCTAACCTTGTTTAGGTGCACTGTCAACCAGAAAATGGCATTCATCTGCTCTCTTTCCCATTCTAGCAGTTTCTAAGAGCCATGAGATAGTGACTGCTGGCAAACTCCACTTCTTTGCAGCTTCATATTTGGAGCCAAATGGTTCTTTCACTATAAGATGTGTACTGGCGAGCATACCTTTTTTTGCACTGGATTTGCGAACAAAGAATTCTTGAACACTAAAATTGCATGGAAAGGAAAGCAAATGATCACATATAAATTAGCCTACAAATTAAAAACAAAGTTTCTTTTACAATTTCAATTACTAATTTCACCAACCTGTCCTTTCCTACCAAAGGGAGGTATGGAACAATTTCAGGAGCACAGGAATAGTATAGATCCATGATCTTTTTACTAACTTCCCTAAGCATTTTCATAATAATCTGAATTATCTCACTTTTTATAAATCTCAGCATTTTGCAGTCAAGGGGAAAAAGGAAACTAAGTGCCTTAGTCAAGAGTGAAGTAAATTAAGGGAATGTGGGGCAGAAACTGAGCCCAGCATTTGAAACTGGCAATTTTCCAGCCCATATTTAGCAGTAACACACTAACCCATGTGGCATGTTGAGAGCTGATCTTGATTTGATGGGATCTAGAATCACCAGTGACAAACATCAGAACTTGTCTATGAGAATGAGGGAGTTTCAGGGAGGTTAGGAAAAGTTGAAAGATCCACCAATGTGGGTGGCATTGCTCCAAGTTTCTATGTTTGTTGATTTTCTTCCTGTTGGTCTCCTAGGACAGTGGTTCTCAAGCAGTGGGGCACAATCCAATTGACAAACCCCTATCTCCAAAAATATTTACATTATGATTCACAACAATAGCAAAATTACAACTATGAAGTAGCAGCAAAAATAATTTTACAGTTTGGGGTTACCACATAAAGGGCTGTAGCACTGAAGGTTGAGAACCACTGTCCTAGGAGATGGCTCAACTTGGTACACTGACATTTTACTTCCCATGGGTGCACTCTTTATACATAGGACTCTTTTTCTTGTTTAATGCCTTTTGACTTGAAGTCAAACCTGCCTGATAGTAAAACTACAACCTCCTTTTTGTCTGTATTTACTTCTACCTTTGACTATCATTTCCTCTCAGAATGTTCTGAGTATGTCATCTGAAAGCATTATGCTCTTACTCTTAATCTAAAAATATTTCCCATTAAAAATGAAGTTAGGCCAGGTGTTGATGATGCATGCCTTTAATCCCAGCACTAGGGAGGCAGAGGCAGGCGAATCTCTGTAAGTTCAAGGCCAGCCTGGTTTACAGAGTTAGTTCCAGAACAGGCTCCAAAGCAATACAGAGAAACCTTGTTTCAAAAAACCAAAAGTTGGTTAACTGATATGTATTGATTATTGATATACTGATACTCAATTGCTATTATGTAATGACCAATTAGGGAGGCTGAGCTACTGAAGGATTTTGTAGGTAACTTTTTAAATTCCTTCATTTCCAAAGTGTTCCTTGCCAAGTGCTCCATTTGCATTTCTAGTTGAAAACAAGAGAAGCTGGATGAACATTAAAAAGAAGAAAGGTGCAGAAAAGAGGAGGAGGATGAAGAGGAGGAAATATAACACATTGAAAGGCACAATGCTAAGACAAGCACAATTCAATAACAGCCCACATGTCATCATTAATTATTCCTTTCCACCGTGACTAGGCCAGGGGAGGAAAAAGTGTCTATAGCCTTAAAAGTTTGCCATACATTCATCTAGTATAGTATACACACTTCTGCTTCCCAGAGCCATTAAAGACACAATACGTACCCATCAACCACACATACAAATAAAACCCTGACCAATTGTAGTTACAACACTTTCCAGTAAGTAAAAAAATAAAAATAAATGTGGTTAAGAATGCTATAGGAGAGCCCTTGCTTAGCGTGTGCAAAGCCCTCAGCTTGATGTCTAACACCGTGTGTGTTGTGTGTGTCTGTGTGTGTGTCCCCGTCCCACCTTAGATATACTGAAAGTATTACATACCTTGCTCCAAGATGATTTGCTAGGAATACCAAGGAATCTCTCTCTGCTCCAACACACTGACTGAAGGAAATAACACAGTCCTTCAAAGGAGTCATTCCCGACATTACTGGCACTGGTGTGAAGAGGGGATTGGACTTGGGATCAACTAGTGTCTGGTAATCTATACATGTAACCTTTGAAAAACAAAAGCAATAAAGTTACTGTAAGAAATAAGTGGCTAAGACGGTTCAAGTTACAATCCTACCAATTTTTGTTTAAAGAAAAAGGAATTGCTCATTAACAGACTTGACCATATTCATTCTCAGTATATTCCAAATGATATTCAAAAAATATGCAGACATCAATTCTTTTTATTTGCATATTAAATCAGTAAGATGATTACTATAGCAACTGGAAGTCACTTTAAATTTCATCTATATCAATATTAGTTTAACATTTTTCTCTTCAATCTTAGGACATTAAAAAGTCCACGTTGGGGCTGGAGAGATGGCTCAGAGGTTAAGAGCACTAGCTATTCTTCCAGAGGTCCTGAGTTCAATTCCCAGCTCCATACAGTGGCTCACAACCATATATATGAGTTCTGGAGCCCTCTTCTGGGTAGAACACAATACACATAAAAATAAACAAAATTAAAAAGGACCCATTGTTCACTGGCTGTCAGGAAAGATGAACAGTGTGAGGTAAGATGGGCAACAACAACCTCCTGATAATGGGCACTGCTGACACAGCAACTTCTACATCAGCCTTAGGTCCAAGTACCAATTTTAAAATTCTTTACGAGACATTTTATTTTTAATAGTGTGTGTCTATACGTGTGAGTGCAGTGCCTGCGGAGGTCAGAAGGAAGTGTCAGATCACCAGAGCTGGAGCTACAGGATGAGGACCAACAAGCTGAAGATCTTTAAACTTTTTAAAACTGTGTTATTGTGTGTGCTTGCAAATACACACATGACAAAGTACGTACATTTGCATGGGAAAGAACACACATGAGGAGAGGGAGAAGAAAAGTGAGGGCATAGAAGTCAGAAGACAACTTTTACACATTCTCTCTTTCCACCATGGGGTCTGGGGCTCAAACAGCAAGTGATGTTACCCTCTGGGCCACCCTGCTAGGCTAACTGAATTGCTTCAATAGTGAACATTAAGACCTTCAGTCCTTCAGTATTGGACTTCGACTGTCAAATGATTCTTACCAGCCACGTATTTGTAACAACTTCTCCCACAGTTGCCTCAACTTCACACCCGAGCAGCGGAACCACAGCAAAGTCAGCAACAATTCTGCTGGAAAGGGACACAATCTTTCCAGCATGTTGTCTTATGATGTTTACAACATTACATTCATTTTCAATACTAAAACCCAACACAAGGAAGCTCTTTTGGCTAAATAAGCCTTCTTCAGGAACTGCTGAGCCATCCAGGAGGCAATGGCTGACTGAAGACTGGTCTTCCTCTTGCACAGAAATGTGAGTGGACTCATCACAGGGCTCAACTTGAGTAGAATCACTGCAAGGCCCAACTTCAAGCTCTACAGATTCAGATGGCTTAGCCTCCACTGCAAAAGAAAAAGGCAGGTTTCTCTATCTGACAATGACTAGATTGAAGAGTTTGTTTCCACAGGGTGTGGTAATGCACAGTTTTGATCCGGACACTGGGGAAACAGAAGCAGGTGGATCTCTGTGAGTTCCAGGCCAAATTGGTTTACAAAGCAGTTTCCAAACTAACCAAAGCTACATAGCGATTTCCCAGCAAAGGCAGTAATGTAACATAAGAGTCTGATATTTTATACTTATAAAACCTAGGCTTAAATATATACAGTAAAAGGAGGATATGTATTCATCCCATCTTCAATTGAAAACACAACTGTCATTTGTTCTAAGTATGAAACTAAAAGCAGAAACCCAATTTTTACCTGAATAACATGTCTTTTTAATAGTTGTTTTTTGTTTTGTTTTGTATTGTTTTAAGACACGGTCTCTCTCTATCTAGTCCTGGCTGTCCTGGAGTTTGCTATTTAGGCCAGGCTGGCCTTAAGATCCTCCTGCCTATGCCTCTTGAATGCTTGAAGTATATATAGGTAAGTGCCACTAAATAAAATTAGGAAAACAATCTTTGTTTCCCACAATTAAGCAATTATGATTCTGTAAGAACTGAAAACTGTGTATGTCACAGGAGTAACAGAGAACTACAAAATATACTTTATGTATTTTGAACTAGATACAGTCAGCATAGGGGAACAAGGCCTGTAACATCAACTGTCTCAGCCCTCCGAGCAGCTGATATTACAGGCTTACCTGCCTGCCCTATGGAGGAAGTGCAAGGCCAGACTAGGCCATAAAACTAAAAATAAGTGTTAGAGACCATCACCATTCTCACTACCTCAGGCCTCTGAGACAGAAAATTACTGCCTCTTAAGAAGTACGCAGAATGTTCAGCAGAGCATTCCTAGATACAGGCTTGCGGTTTTACAACCAGTTAAATAATAGCTCAGGATATTCTTCCTGTTGTAGCTTTACAGCCAGTTAAAGAATAGCTCAGGATATTCCTCCTGCTGCAGTTTTACAGCCAGTTAAAGATTAGTTCAGGGCATTCCTTCTACTGACTCTTTCATCCTGCCCATTTGCAAACCCTGCTCATATCCTACCTATAGTCCTATATAAGCCTCCCCTGAGAAAATAAAATTTGGCAGCTTGATCAGAATATGGACTTGCTGTTATCCTTCTCCTCCCTTGCCCTTTGATTCCCCTAGCTGTCTCCCAGTTCGTCGCTGACTGCCTCAACGATAGAGCCGATGTCTGGGTCACACCTCAGCAATATAATAAAGAAACAAGTAAACAACCTAGATACAAAATTCAAAGTACCCACACATGACACAAACTATAAAGAAACTGGCCGGGATGGATTTCACAGGAGACTCTTGGCACAGTGGTAATTCTCTACTTTCCTATATAAATAGACAATGTGATCTTTTATCACAATATTCTTTTTATCAAATATTTCACAATAAACTTTAAAAAGAAAAAAGGTTAGTCCTAACTCTGTTGGTAATCTATCTTACCACACTGACAAAACCATATGCTGAGACAGCATGAAAAACTTCCCGTATCCCAGGGATAGGGCATTTGTTACAAGCTTATGCTATTACAATTAACACACAGATGCCAGAGAGATGGCTTAGTGGTTAAATGCATATATATAGCTCTTACAAAGGACCCAGCATCCACTTAGTCACAAATGTCTGTAACTCTAGCTCCACAAGAATCTCATCTCTGGCCTATGAAGGTGCTTGGTTAGAAAAAGTTACAAATCTAAAACTTTTTGGAAATAAAAAAATTCATAGAAGCTATGTGGTGCTGACACAAACCTTTAGTTCTAGCACCTGGGAGGCAGACTCGGGTGGATCTCTGAGTTCAAGACTAGCCTGGTCTACAGAGTGAGTTCCAGGACAGCAGGGCTCGGAAGAGGAACCCTGTCTCGAAAAACCAAATCAGTAAAAACAAAATTCACAGAATACTTGGCAGATGTCATGCGTGCTTACATTGCTTGCTAACTGTAAATGCTAATCAACTATTCCTTACCTAATGTGGAGTCATTATTTACATACTGAGAGAGCAGATCCTCATCAGTTTGCTGGAACTTCTCATTAGGAGTAAAATCTTTCTTAGAGAATATGCTGTTCTTTTCCAAGACAGTTGTCTGGTTTTCAGGCTGATCTGAAACTGGAATTGCAGCTGGCTGGTAGTTAGTGTGGACATATGGCTCTTCAGGGAGCATGAATCCCTTACTAAAACACTCCAGCAACCACTTTGCTCCCACTACATGAGGCCTACAGAAGAAGCACAGATAAGCTCCAGTGTAAGTGAGGGAGGAAAGATCATTACCCCTCTTGCACGCATTCCCACAGTTGCACAGACATGCAAATACAACCCAGATCATTCCAGTGCAAAGTGGTTTGAATTAAAGACTGACAGGACCTGTGGGATGATTTGTTCCAAAACTGCTTCAGGTCATCCTCATAATCTCCCACAATTACATGAGTTACATCTTCATTAAGTTGATTAAATCGAACTCCACCACCACTGTTAATAAGCCTTCTTAGCTTATCTAGCTTTCTGCCACTAAAACCACAAAGGTATATCTGCAAACAAAGAAAAGATTTGCTTTGGATTAACATATTCAACACAAACAAATTTAAAAGAAACCAATATCCACTATGTGTAAATAAGACACTTTACATACATCTTGAGTTATGTAAGGAATAAAATATATTCTGAAATTAATGCATGTACATTCATACTGGCAGCTATCAAACCCCTGGAATCTACTTGTCATTGCCCACTCCACACAGACATAGTACTGGACATCACCACTCACAGCTTTTACTTAAGGTGTGAGGGATCCAAATTCCAGCACCCCCACCCAACACACAGCAAGTACCTGACCCACTTAGCTATGTTCTCAGCCTGAAACGTATTTTTAAGCATCTGTTTATAGTCCCACAGCACTGCCATGTTTCAGTAGAAACCTGAAGGAGGGTTGAGGACTCAAATGAATTAGACCACTTCGACATCTTAATTTTGGTGCACATCTTGTTGAAAGATTTTCATTGTGTGTGTGTGTGTGTGTGTGTGTGTGTGTGTGTGTGTGTGTGTGTGTACATACACACAAGTGTCATACAACATTTGTGGAGGTTAGAGGACATTGTGAGGGACTCAGTTCTCTTTCACCTTGTGAGTCCCAGGACTGAACTCTGGCCATCAGGCTTGGTTGGTGGCAGAGGTATTTCTAACTTGCAGATACTTCTCAGTAAAAGGGTGACTTCTTGTAAATGTGAATAATTATAAAAATAAACTGTAATGCACTGTAAACTCAGAGCATCCAGGCTTGCATGCTTATTTTCAGCTGGTGTAATTAAGAACATGATTTGAGCAAATTCCTTAAGGCTCTGAGCCAACTCATTCCTATAAATTTATCTTTCCTGCAATTTTTTTTCTAGTTGATTTAAACAAAAACATCAAGTCAAAGAGCTGAGCATGATGCATTGAAGAAATATGCACATAGGGATTTTAATTATGAAGGTGAATGTTTAAGCCAATTTAACATAATTTTTTTACTTCCATCTTTTAAAAACTTCAGAAATGACATTTTATTTCCATATGTCCCAAACCATCATTACTAGAATGAACCCTAACAAAAATTAAGAACAAAATACTTCCTACATGAAAAGAAAAATTCAGAGTCACATCTAGAATTGTTACATTCTAAGATCTGAGAAAAAAAGATTACACAAAGTGCCCTTCTGTCCCATAGTAAGTTAATAAACCTCAGAAGGATAACTGGCCTTTAATTACAAACATGGTTTAACTTTGCCTGCTTTGAGAATGAATGCATGGCCTAATTACTCTATTAATAGTAGTGTATGAAGTATATGGCTCTAGGAGATATGCCTCCATCATGGATCTCATATGCATACACTAAAAAGAATCTTAACAACCCAAGAATAAGCCAGGCAGCGGTGGCAGACAACTTTAATCCCAGCACTTGGCAGGCAGATCTCTGTGAGTTCGAGGTCAGCCTGGTCTACAAGAGTTCTGGAACAGCCAGGGCTGTTACACAGAGAAACTCTGTCTTGAAAAACAAAACAATAAAAAAAAAAAAAAAAAAAAAAAAAAAAAGAGTAACTAAACAGAGAAATAATCTTATAAATCTAATCTTTTTATTGCTGAGGACCCAACTCAAGGCCTTGTACACAATTAAGAAGGCAGACTTTAAGGTGACAGTAATGTATGTCTAGCACTCTGGGAAAACATTTTATGATATATATTTTTTGTTGTTTTTTGTTTTGTTTTGTTTTCCCTAGTGCTAGGATTAAAGACGTGTGCCACCACTGCCTGGAACATTTTATTATATATTAAATTTACATTTATTTCTTCTGTGTGTGTGGGGGGGGAGGACTTATCAGGATAATTTGTGGAACTGGACTCATTCCCTTCCACCACATGGGGGACTCAGGACTCATGTTCTCCGGCTCAGCAACAAATGCTTCACCCACATGACCTTGAAAAAGGATCTGAATCATCTAAGTATTACCATCAAGATATTACCCACTCTAGTTATTTGTGGGGATTAAGTGATACTTTAAATAACAATGTAACATGAAATGACTAGTGGTATTAATGTATTGTAAATAACAAATGATAGCACATGAAATGTTTTAACGTAACTTGTAAGACTTCAGAGCAGAGTTGAGAAGTAAAATGCACTTTGAAGCATAACAAATGAAGCTATATCCCAGACACAAACTCAGCCACAGTATGAACAAGGTGAGTGCCAGCTTCCTGATTCAGTGCAGAGTTTGTTTGCATAGATAAGGAGCAAGTCCAACTAAGAGGTGTCTTCAGAGTCAGGCTGAGTGTTTGTGTGTCTGAACCTCATTGTAGCTCAAGCTGGCCCTAAACTCAAAGCATTTACTGAATTTGTAACATAATAAAGACATACCCGACAGCCATCTAGCAAATCTTCAGGTGCTTGAAACACACTGATGTCCAGATTTTCTAGGTCTTCAAGTGTACATTCAAGTTTGCCAGTAGTTGAACTGAACATTGTTTCATTTATACAGCTGCTATTTATGTTGGATATATGGCTGACATCTGCAAGCGTGCGACCTTCATATGTAAAAAGAAAGTATAAATTCATGAGGTAAACAAGTCATTACATGCTTCCTTACAAATTAAAGTGAAATGACTTAATGTTTCTTTAAAGTGGCTTATACGTCATAAAAATGCAGTTGCTGGTCTTAAGGTCCAAGAAGCTTACATTTGGGGAAAAAAAATTTGCCAATTTTGTGAAAAAAAAAAAAAAACACTTCTAAAATAGAGATTAGTAGTGACTGGATATGCTACCTTAGCTGACACATCAAAAAAGACCATCACAAATGGGGGTGTCCTTTCATCTTTGAGCTTCAAAGTGTTGTATCTAATATGGTGTGTATGGCTGTCACAGAGCTCCTGTGGAGGGTCAAGAATAAAGCTGTGCAGTTGGTTCTCTCCTTCCACCTTTACAGGAGTTCTAGGGATTGAAGGTGTCCAGTTTACACATCAAAACACTACCTGCTACACCATGAAATTTTTGTTTTGTTTTTTTGTTTTTTTTTTCATTTTTGAGACTGGGTCTATGATCTACACCCACGGTTCCCGATCTAGAACTCATGGTAATCCTCCTGCTTAAGCCTCCCAAGTCTTAAGAATACAGGGGTGCTACCACGCTAAACCAAAACAAACAAATAACACTGAATTTTTAAGTAATGACAATCCATAACCATTACCGTAAACCAATAAAGGAAATATAGGCTGGTCGTGGTGACATTTGCCTTTAATCCCAGCACCTAGGAGGCAGCGCCAGGCAGCTCTCTGAATTCCAGGTTTGCCTGGTCTATAGAGTACCAGGACAGCCAGGACTACACAGAGAAAACCTGTCTTGAAAAACTAAAAAAAAAAAAAAAAAAAAAAAAAAAACAAAACAAAACAAACAAGCACACACACACAAAAAAAAAACCCCATATAATATATGAATGAGCAAAATCATAAAAATAATCTCCTGGGCTACTGGCTTAGGGGGTAAATCACTTGCCTGATGAAAGCCTGATGACGAGTTTAGTCCCCAGAACACATATAAAGGTACAGAGTACCAACTTCACAGTTGTTTTTTATTTTTGTTTGTTTGTTTTGTTTCCTCCAAAACAGGGTTTGTCTGTGTAACAGCCCTGGCTGTCCTAAAGTCACAAAGACTTGTCCTAAAATCACAAAGCCTGTTTCTGCTTCCAATATGCTGAGATTATGGGCATGCACCATTACTACCTGGCCACAGATGTTCTTTAATGTCCACTTACTGTGGCAGGTATGCACACACACCTACATATCAAACACATAATAACAATAATACATAGAATCTTTAAAAAAAAAAAAAAAAAAAAAAAGCCTATTTCTTGTCAGGTGTGGTGCATGCCTTTAATCCCAGCACTGGCAGTCAGACACAGGTGGATCTCTGAGTTCAGCACCAGACTGATCTACAGAGCTAGTTCCAGGACAGCCAAAGCTACACAGAGAAACCCAGCCTCAAAAAATCCAGAGGAGGGAAATAAAAAAATAAAAATATCCCAACACTCAATAGGCAGAGGCAGGTGGATCTCTGAGATCTAGGCCAACCTGGTCTAAAGAGGGAGTTCCAGGACAGCCAGGACTACACAGAGAAACCATGTCTTGAAAAACCAACCAACAAACAAACAAAAACCTTTTCTTAAGGCTATTTACTAAGTTTTGTTTTTCAAGACAGGGTTTCTCTTTCTAACAATTCTGGCTGACCTGGAACTTGCTTTGTAGATCACAATAGCCTCAAACTCAGAGATCTGCTTACCTCTACCTCCTGAATGCTGGAATTCATGGCATACACCACCACTGCCCAGCTTCACTAGTGTTCTTAATTACCCTCTTATGTAAATTAGGATGTAGAAAAAAGCAATCCTTCATTCTAAAAGAATACAAGAGAATTTCTGGATAGTTTTCTACACAACCTGGCTGTTTTGTTATTTAGCTCTAACCAGAGGCACAGGAAAAAAAAAAAAAAAAAAAAAAAAAAAACAAATGAACAAAAACCAGGAAGTCCCTACAACAAAACATTTCAATGGTCTTGTTAGCAAACCTACTGCTTCACATTTTCCTTGGTGTTTAGGACTGAGACCCCAGGCTTACATTCAAAAGATAAAAGCTTTCTCACTAAGTTACATCCCAGTCCAGTACATCAGTTATCATGTGGACAAATTGGCTTGCTTTTTTATCTCAAAGAGACTTACTTTCAGCTGCTGCATTGCCCTGAGCAGTGGGAGTTGAAGTATCAGGCACCGTCTTTATTTCTGATCTGGCTTCGGCCTTGTAGATAGATTCATCCTGACAAAAGCCTTTCTCAATACTGTCATGAAACCACTGCAGGGTCACACAGTGCACATTCCATCTCTTGGCACATTCATATTTTTGTCCTGTTGTGTTCATTACAAGAAAAATACAGAAATATTTAGATTATACCTTAGTTCATAGTAAATTAATATTTAAAACTCGGCTGAAACAAAAGTAATGATTAAAGATTACCAGTCTTTTATCTTAAAAATGTATTCATTTACCGGGTGGTGGTAGCACATGACTTTAATCCCAGCACTCGAAGGTAGAGGCAGAAAGATTTGAGTCTGAGGCCAGTCTGGACTACAGAATAAGTTCTAGGACAGCCAGGGCTACACAGAGCAACCCTGTCTCAAAAACAGACAAGCAAACAAACAAACAAAAAAAAAACCCTATTATCTCTGTTTTTTAATCTGTCTGGGTGTTCTGTCTGCATGTGCATGCATGTCTATGTGTTATTTGCATGTCTGATGGTGCCCAAGGAGGTTAGAAAAGGGCACTGAATCTCCTAGAACTAGAATTACAGCCAGTTGGAAGCCACCACATGAATGCTGGCAATCAGAACAGGATCCTCTGAAAAAGCAGCCAGTGCTCTTAACTATTGATCAATCTTTTCAGCCAATTTCCTTCAGAGATAGGGCCTCACAAATGTAGGCTTGGCTGGCCTGAAATGCACTGGAGTACATCAGGTTGGGCTTGAACTCAGAGATTTGCCTGTTTTCTGCCTCCCAAGTGATGGGATTATTGAAGATGTATATCAGCACACGCTACATTACAAGAATACATAATTACAGATACTATAAATATATGCAATATAATAAATATTATCTTTGACTAGACTGTACAAGTACCAAAGTAAGGGACAAGGAGATTTGAAATTTTTTTTTCCAGTAAAGAACTTTAACAATATATTTTTAAGTAATATCACAGAAAAACTAAAGTCAATATGTAAAGCCAAAGGATATTTTGGCATTGTTTTTGTTTCTGCTTTCTTGTGTGTTCTGACTGTATTTTGGTCTTTGTTTTTTTGAGACATAGACCATGCAGCCCAGGCCAGTCTTAAACTTTTGATCTTCCTGCTTCCACCCCTATGACACCCAGCTCTACTTTGGTTTAAGTCTATATCCCAGCTACTTACCATAAGACAGGAAGATTACAAATCTAGGGCCACCCTGGTAAACTTGATGAGATTCTGTCTCTAGCAGAAATTAATGGGGATAAAGGACTAGGGACACAGCTCAATGGAAGAGCACTTGCTTAGCATTAAACAAAGCCCTAGGCTCAATCTCTATACCGCAAGACACAGTCAACAGATAATTCAGACTGATAAAAAAGCCACAGCTACCATCCTTAATTGGTACAGTCATAATTGGTCTCCTGAGTAACGAACAAGTACTCTTAACTGCTATTTCTTATCAATGTAGCTCAGGAGACATACAAATATGATATGGCAACTCTTCTCATTCATTTGTGCAGATTTTAGCAGCAGCAGTAAAACTATTCCCCAGAATAAAGTTCTTGAAATAGCAAAAACAATAGTAATTTTAAAGACTTCTCATCTGTAATTCTTTTTATACTTTGAGTCGCCTCATAATCTGCACAGCATATCTTGAAGTTAGAAATTCTAGTTCATAGACAAGTTGGGAAATGTGGCAGAGTGGCAGAGCACGTGCCTGACGTGCACAAGGCCCTGGGTTCCATCCTTATCACAGCCCCACCCCCACCCCAATCCTAATATACTAAATCAAACCTAAGTACTTAATCAAGTGTCATAACTCAGTCACAAGAAAGAACTACCACTTAGTTATACATATTAGCTTTCTTGTTATTCATTATTTGGTTAATTGTGGAGAGCTGTTTGTCAGTTAAGGTCGAACAGGCAGGAGAGGAAACATTACTGAGAGCTTTTAATATTTTACGTTTATTCCATGTCCTGAATAAACACAAGGATGGTTGCTGAATTTTTCTAAACTGTGACCCAAACTATCTTTTTGCATGACTTTAGGGGGCTAAAAAACAAGTAAACCAGAACAACGACATGTCAGAAGCACAAGGTGGTCTGAAGTGCTACAACAGGAATTCCACGCTCGACTGCTTCTAAAGCAGTTTTACCTTTTGGTTCTTGGACAATGAGGTGTGTACATTCATTCATCTTCAGCTGCCCCATGTACTGGCCTCCGTGCTTAGTTGTGAGTTGCTGAACTGTCTTTCTGTGTATACCATTTAAGCCAGTCACACAGATAATGCAACCAAGAAAAATAGGACATTTAAAGTCTTCCATGTTTATGTCAGTGTATCTGGTTATTTTTCTGGAGGAAAAAAAAATTGGTAAAAAGGAAAAATTAAACATAATAAGTATTCAGATAGTTTTAAACACCATTGCTTTCCTTGTTTGTTCATTTTTTTTTTTTTTTAGGCTTTATAAACACTTGAGAAAGGAAAATTGACATTGAAGATTACACTAACTGCTCATCTAGTTGAGTTCCAGTCTCTAATAAAAATTTGTATTTCAGCAATAGTCTGAAGACCATCTTAAAGAAAGCACTATTAACTCTTAAGTCCTTGGTAATAAATGGGGAGCACTTTGTAGGGTAGAATTATAAGACTGAATCTCTATAAAAACCTAGTATTTCATTTGATGCCTGCTATAAAATAGACTTAAATTCTCCCATTATTGGGGGGGGGGGCATTTGAGCATTTGAGACAGGATTTCTCTGTGTATTCTTGCTCTATAGACCAGGCTGGCCTCAAACTCATAGAGATCTGCCTACTTCTGCCTCCCAAATGCTGGGATTAAAGGCATGCACCTGATTAAGTAAAAGTAATTATTTATGGCAGAGCACCAACAATTATTAGTTATTCTGTTGTCACAATTTCATCAGGCTAGGAAACACATTGAGCATATGAATGGAGCTGAAACAAGTATGGAAAAATGCCACAAAATGCTGATATTATTCAGATACCTGGGCTTATAACTATAAACCAAATTTTAGGGGAAATATAATTATACCTCCAATTCCATGAAGGAAACTCCTGTCCTGTTCTGATCCCTACATACATCTAATGTCCAGGCCAGTGCATAAAATAGGTTCAGTTTACACTGAGTGATCACATCTCAGCTAATGGCTTACATATATGTATGTTCTATCTTATCTCTACTTCCCTCTACCCCACAGGAGGGAACAAGGCTGCCAAAGCAGCTCATTTAGCCTCCATCCTAACATCGTGCACAGTATTACATAGTGCAACACAAAAGCCAAACTGCAGAAAACAACTTCAATATCAAAGCATTTGTCCTCTAGATAGTGCTCAGTCTGCAGCTCATCTCCCCTGACAGTGACATCCTGTGACAGTAAGCACTTACAGATTCTGCTCTTCTACTGTCACTAGAGAAATGAACAATGACCCTATTTTTGTCTCTCAGTAATAAACCAAAAGATATTATCATAAAGCTTCCCCATGAACACCCAAGAGCATGCCAAGTTAACCAAATGTTATCATTTTCTATAATATACAAAGCACACAAATGTCTTACTTCTCTTGTGACTTCTCCCAAAGTGTTTTTATCCAATTAGGAAGCAAAATTGGTTTCTTCAGATTAGCAGCAACTAGGTATTTTTTGCTCCCAACTTCTCCTGCAATAAGGTGAGTGACTGATACATTCAGGTCTCTGTACACTCGTCCACCCATCATTTGTACATATTTATGAACTTCTTCCTATAGACCCAAAAGAAAATACATTAATGAGAAAGAAAACAATAGTTATTCTATTTTTTTTAATCCCATAATTTCAAAAAAATGTATGTATAAAATGTTTTGCCTGTGTATGTGTCTATGCACTATGTGCAAGCCTGGTGGCCTTGGAGGTCAGAAGGGGGAATCAGATCCCACGGAACTGAAGTTACAGATGGCTATGAGCTACCAAGTGGGTGCTGGGAACCAAACCCAGATCCTTTGGAAGAGCAGCCATTGAGTGCTCTTAACTGCTGAGCCATCTCTCCAGTCTCCCATAAGTGTCTTTTAAAAATCGTTGCTAGCCTGAATATACAAACGTTTTTACAACAACAACAACAACAACAAAAAAAATTACTTTTGGAAAGATGTGTATTAATTTTACATTTAAAATGTGTAGCTGGTGATGTAGCTCAGTAATAGAATGCTTGTCTACCATGCACAAAACTCTGGACTCAATTTACAGTCTTCCCCCTAAAACAAACCTGAAAGTAACTGTTTTCTTGACAGTCACAATACTGTTTAACAATACTTCAATCAAACAACATTTATAGAAATGTGGTCTTGTAAATTAATATTGCTAATAACATCACAGCCTCAAATTTAAGTATACTCAATGATAGTCACCTAGAGAAACATTTTCAGAATTATCACCATTAATAAGTGACTGTATTTATTCTTTTAAAGCCCATAATTTAAAGCTGGGCAGTGGTGGAGCACACCTTTAATCCCAGTACTCGGAAGTCAAAGGCAGGTGGAGCTCTGTGAGTTCAAGGCCAGCCTGGTCTACAAAGCTACACAGAGAAACCTGTCTTGAAAAACAAACAAACAAACAAAATCTCCATAATTTAAAATTATGTTGCTTCTGATTACATTTTTACATACTATAATCACATTTCTATGTTTTGTGTGGCCTTTTCTCTCAGTTTTCTGAAGTAGGCTAACTTCAACCTTGAAGAAGTCCTATTGCCTCAGGCTCACAAATCCTGGGATTACAGATGTGAGCCACTATGTCTAACTATCCTTTGTTCTTTTCTTTGTTTTGTTTTTTGAGACAGGGTCTCACTATATAGCTCTGGCTGACCTGAAACTCAGTAATAGTCAGGATTAAAGCCATGAGCCACTACACCCAGATCAGAATCCTTTCTTTAAAGATTTTCTGTGCTAGAAAACTGATTCAAAAACCAAGCATACTGAATGTAGAACAGTAAATTTTATTTTAAATCAAAACAAAACTCTTCACTTAAACAGCTTTTCTATAAAATATATTCTACAGCAACTGGTTATCTAATACCAAATGGTCAGTTATAAAAATATGCATGTAAGTAACTTTTAGGATTACATATGTATGCATGTATACACACAAACACACACACCCCAACAACAATGGAAAAGAAAGGTCATCAATATGACAGAAAGCAAGGAGTGGTATATGGGAGAATTTAGAGGAGAGGAAATAATGTAATTATCATTTCAAACATTTTTTAAATACCATTGGGAGCCGTGCACTGAAGTCTGAAAGCCGTAAAAAGCATGTATGTGGTCTTTAAGATACATTCCCACCAGGGAAAATCAGGTGCAGAGCCAGCACCGCACCTTTCAGTACTTACCCTTTTGTCTTTATCCAGGCTTGTACAAGATATGGTTATATCAGACATAATCATATTGTAAACTGGATGCTCAGCTCTTGGGACACACTGCTGGTGGTGCATACAAAATGTGACTACTTGAGGACCAACAATTCTGCAGCCAAGCTATAAAAGTTAGGGAAAAGATCACTAATATCACAAAATTAAATCTGGAACATTTGCCAGTTACTCACGGAAACTGAGAGGGACTACTGCAGAAAGCTACCAACTGTTAGAAGAAAAAAGACCATCACATAATTTCTCCAGCACACTGAGCATTACATTAACACACACTCAAAAGCAAAACCACAAGAGCCCTTCATTCATAACTGCTGTCACACTTTTCTTTTTTGGTGGGGTTTCGAGACAGGGTTTCTCTATGTAGCCTTGGCTGTTCTAGAACTCACTGTTGACCAGGTTGTTCTCAAGTTCATAGAGATCTAACTGCTACCTCCTGAGTGCTGAGATTAAAGCTATGTGACAGCATTGCCTAAATTTTCAGTCTAGAACTTAATCTTTTTTTTTTCTTAATTATATTTTAGGGCTGTAGAGATGGCTCAGCAGTTAAACACTGCTGCTTTTCAAGAGGACCTGGGTTTGATTCCTGGCACCCACACTGTGACTCACAACCACCTGTAACTCCAGTTCCAGAGGCTCCAATTCCCTTCTCTGACTTCCAAGGGCATCAAGAATGAAAGCGGTGCACCAACACGCATGCAGGTAAAAGCCTTATGCATAAAGTTAGATATTTCAAATATTAATTTTAATTATATGTAGTGTGTATATAGGTATATGTACATTTTGTGCAGGTACAATTGGAGGTGAAAGGCATTGGATTCCATTACAAGTAGTTGTGAGTCAACTGACATGGATACTTGGAATCAAATCTTCAAGTACCTTGAAGAGCTGTAAGTGCTCTTAGTCACTAGGCCATCTGTCCAGCCCCAAGAAATATGATCCTAATACTGTAACAACTAAGAAACATTCAAGTATGCTTTTCATACAAAGCACCAGCCAGTAAAGCAGTTTTCTAGAAGTCTAAGAACCCCAAGCCAGAAGAATCCCAATGTACTCATAGTACTCATGATCAGTAAAGAATTCATGAAGCAATGAGACCTGAGCAAGTGAGCAAACAAGGACGTGCATGCGCACACACACACACACACACACACACGCACACACACGCACGCACGCACGCACGCACGCACGCACACACACACACACACACACACACACACACACACACACACACACGAGAAAGCAAAACCTCTACCAAATAAGTGAGCATCTTAGAGACAGCAGACCTGTTTAAGGTGATCAAATACAGCACCACTGAAGTGGTCACAGATATAAAGTGATCTGTCATTTTCCTTTATCTTCAATGCTTCCTCCTCTGTAATAATCTGAAGATAATCTTCTGACTGTAATTCCTTTATTGACTGAAAGAGAAAACAAAGAATAATGAGTTCCCTACATTTAAGTCCTTCCCACGCTTATTCAGCCCTTTTCTTATTACAGTATTATTTCTTACCTAAACTACTGCAGACACCTTTGGATTGGTCTCCTCTCTTAAATTTATTCTTCACACAGAAGTTAGTAATCCTTTTTAAGAAACCAACCAGGGGCTGGGAAGATGGCTCAGTGGGTAAAACACTTGCTGTACAAGCATGGGTATCTGAATTTGGATCCCCAGCACCCATGTAAAAAGCCTGTGTGGAGGAATGTACTTGCAATCCCAACAGTGGGAAGCAGGGATGAGATTCCAGGGGATCCCTGGCCAGCCAGTCTAGCAAATCAGTAAGCTCTGCAACACTAATATCCACAAGAGCACACATGGGCAGGCACTTAACATATGCACACACATAAACAAAAAATTCAGATCACTATACTCTGTTCAAAACTAATGACTTTCCACCACACTCAGATTAAATTCTAAATGTTTTAATAGTTTGGGTCTTTACTTCTTTTTCTACATTAAGCTACAAAGTCAGAGGGAACTGTTCCAGCAACCCTGGCTTCTTGACGTTACATCCTCAGTGTTGTCTCTGGGTGGAGCAGACCGGAGATTCTTGGCTGGCAGGTTTCCTTCACTGGTCCCAGGAAGCTGCCCCAGCTCCTAAGAGTGTCTAATGTGCTCTATGTGAGCGAGCATTAACCCTCTTAGCAAGGATCCTGCCCTTAACTTGCTTGTTTACAAGGCCAACAGCATGGTGAGCAATGCTGTTGATGGATTCCTCTAAATTTGCCACAGTAACATGGGGCATGCACAAAACCCAGATCCAATCCAATCAACGGCAAAGGAACAATTCCATGTTTTCTTTCTTTTTATTTAAAAACAAACTCAAGTGTGTATGTCTACTACATGTGTGCAGGTGTCCTCCAGAGGCTAGACAGGAGCTTCGGATCCCTGGAGCTATAATTAAAAGTAATTGTGTGTTACTGACATGAGGGCTGGGACCTCAGCCTTATCTCCAGTCCCCAACTCCCTGTTTCTGAAAAACCTTGGAGGACATATACCAGGTGTTGATCCTCTCTCCTTTCTGTGTGTCATGTCGGCAAATTGACTGCTTAGAATCAGGCCCAAATTTTCATTTCTTATCACAGCCTTCAAAACCATAAAAGTTAGCCCTCACCTATCTCCAGACTCATCTGGTATGTCTACCTCCCTGACTAATTCCAGTCAGCTCCATACCCTATACCTGGAGCAGGCTAATGCCTTCACTTAGAGGCTCTGTTTGGCCCTGCTTTGGGGGATACTCTACATTTGGGTTTTCACCTGAAGTAATTCTTCACTTTAATCAGGTCTGCTTAAATGGCACTTCCTCAAAGTTTCCTTTTGTGATCGTGGTAGGTTTGTTTTGCAGCACTGGGGGCCAAAACCAGGGTTTTAAGCACACTATACAAATTCTATACCACTAAGCAACACTTCCGTGCTTTCTAAAATGCACTTCCTCTAGCCCTCGAATATGTTTTATGAAGGAAAGAACATTGCTATTTTACAAATGTGGGCATTTTTATTTCTTCCCTGTAAGAAGAAATGTTTTGAGCCTGTTAGACAGCTCAGCAGTCACCTGAGCTGCTTGCCATTCAGCCTGAGGGCCTGAGGTCAATCCTCAGGATCTTATGGTAGAAGGGGAACCAACTCCAAGTTGTCTTCTGACCTCCACACATGCACTGTGGTAGGCAGGTACAGAAGTGGAGACACACACACACATTCACACACACACACACACACACACACACACTCACACTCATGTCATAATAGATTTCAATCCCCTAAAAATACATAATGGTATAATTACACTAGCTAAAAAATTAAGTAACAAAAAAATAAATCTGTATTAAGCACATGCTGTAGCTAAACTCCATTTAAATTACTTCTACGATATAAAACCCAACAAATGAAAAACATTTAAAACATGAGAAATGAGCTCATAGCATCAAATAAGACATACCCAATTATTCTTACCTCAAGAGCTTTAAAAAAACATTCTGAATTGTCTGAAGACTTTAAAAACTTCACAAAAAACGGTTCTTGGTCATTTCTGGACATTGCTGAACTGTAAGAATAAGGCAGTCAATAAGAATAAAAATAAATTAGGTAGGAAACTAAATGTTCAAACCAAATCAATATTTTATTTTAGGTTTTTTGTTTGTTTGAGGCGTGGTTTCTGTGTGGCTCTGACGGTCCTGAAATTCACTGTAGACTGGATAGCCTCAAACTCAAGAGATCTGCCTGCCTCTGCCTCCCTAGTAATGGGACTAAAGGCATGCACCACCACCACCGTGCCAGCAAATCAACTATTACGAAGGCAAAAATGCCGAAGAAATAGACATCTGGCTTTGCCCATGAATTCATTCACTTGTTTGCAAAAGACCACAGAATGTGGGCAAAGTAGAAAATAGAGGGAGAGGCAACACGAATCCTCAAATCTGAGAACAAAATTAACGTCCCTGATTGAATACACCAAGGTCCTTGGTGTGGGCCCCTCAGTTAATAGACATCGACTTGCACCGGGCTTCAAGACAACCGAGGGCGGCTGCGGTGCTGGCACCCATGGCCCGCAAGATTTGCTCCTAAGTCAACGGACGTGAAACGCAAGCAGCCACTGTGGAAGGTCATGCACGCTCGCCCGAAAGGCCCACGCGACTGTCCCTGGCTCCCAGGGAAAGGGCGGGCCCGTGGAACGTCCAGGACGCGGCTTCCCGGGTGTCTGAGGGCCGCCCGCCGGTTACTAGGGCCGCGAAGGCCGCAAGAGACGCCGGGCGCCCAGCCGGCCGGGAGGAGCGGGCGCTCGCTCACCTCGGAGGAGCCTGAGGGCCCACGGGCACCACGTCGGGGGGCGCGCGGCCAGCAGGACGGCGGCTGGAGTCGGGCGCCAGCCCGGCGCGCAGCCCCCGCCCCCGGCGGCGCCCCCAGTCCCAAGCTAACGCAGCAGAACCCGGAAGCGCCGAGGCCGGGAACCGACTTTCGCGCCAACGAGGCGGACGCAACGCCCCTTCCGGCGGAAGTGACGTCATCGGGCCCCGCGCTGGGAAGTGGAGCGGAGGGAAAGTGCTGTTCCGCGCGCCCTCTGTCGGGAGAGGCTAAAGGCTCCTAAGCTTTGTTTGCTGCGGTCTGGGCCGGACTGGAACTCAAGGTTCAGGGCGAGGAGGAGCTTCAGGCCGACAGTAGAAGTTCAGAACGTGCAGAAATAAGGACCCGGGTGGGGCACGGGCTCCAGCGGCAGATGCTCCCCAGCGTGCCGGGCAGTGCACGGGAAAACACTCCTGAAGCTAATTAGCGGCTTCTCCACTTTTGAAGTGTTTAAACGAAGGCCAAGGGATATATACTCGTTATCACGTAGCTTGTAGGTGGGGGAATTAGATTAGGTCAAGATCTTTCTGTCTCCCCTGATTGGGTGGGTTTCTCTCCTCCATTAGAATATAGTCACTGCTTAACCACGGACAAAAATTGTAACGGAAAGAGGACAGGATGGTGAAGGATACGCTAATTTATTGCTTGGGTTGTTTGATTTCACGTTCAGACTTTTTATTTGTATGTTCTAGATATCCTCTGTCAGGTGTGTAGCTGGCAAAGTTTTCCTCCCATTCTGTATACTTCATTCAATTAACTGTTTTCTTTGCTGTACAGGGCCTTTAAAAAAACAAAAAACAAAAACAAAAAAACTTCATCCGGTCCCGTTTCATTTGTCGATTGTTGGTATTATTTTCTGAGCAACTAGGGCCCTATTCAGAAAGTCTTTGCCTATTTTCGTTTCAGAGTTTCAAATCTGACGTTCAGGCCTTTGATCCATTTCGAGTTGGTTTTTGTGCAGGGTGAGAGATAAGGATTTCATGTCATTCTTTTACATACGAATGAATATCAAGTTTGCCTGGCACCATGTGTTAAAGAAGATGTGTTTTCTATGATGTGTAATTTTGGCATCTTGTTACAAAGAATCTTTACTTAGCCAAACTCTAGTCTTGACTACTAGATGTTCTAGGCATACTTGTGTGCTTCCTTGTAAAATTCCGTTAGATCCCTCCACTATTGATAGCTGATGGTTCTTTTCATCTTCCTCCATCCCCAGGCTTGTCTGCACTAAGAATTCTCTTAGGATCTAACTACAATCCTCTTCTTATACTACCTCTTAAGAATCACTAAGTTACTAGTAAAATGCTGAATTATTAGTCACACCCAACTCTACTCTTTAAGTATGAAATATTCAGGGTTGAACCCAAACTTGCCCTCAGTACAAAATAATCCCATCCCTGTGTTGCTGACCACTGTAGTGACCCTAATGGTCCTGCTTTAAAAGTATCATTTAAGTTTTTCATTAACAAGGATTAACAACAATTAGTAACTTAGGCTCAGAGGTAAATAATAGAGGGGAAGGGAAATACTTTTTTAAAGTATTAGAGTTGAGAGGCTAAGGTGTAGCTTAGTTGGTAGAATGCTTGCCTGGAATACACACATCCCTAAAATCCCTAGATTCCATCTCCAGCACCATATAAAACTGGGTATATCCTACCTATACATGAGAACTTGCTTCCAGTTATTAGAGCTGAAAAAAAAAAAAAAAAGGCACAGTTCATGGTTAATGAGTTCTGTCCAGAAGCTGTCATCCTATCTATAGAGTACTTGATAGCCCACCAAAGACTAGGGAAAGTTGAGGCAGAAACTGAAGCAAAGGCCAAGGACAACCAGGCTTACTGGCTTACTCAGCCTGCTTTCTTAGACCACTTAGGACCACCTGCCCCAAGGTGGCACCACCCACAGTGGGCTGGGTCCTCCCACATAAATTATTAATCAAGAAAATACCCTTCAGAACTGCCTAGAGGCAATTTTCAATTGAGATTCCTCTTACCCAGATAACTAACTAGCTTGTGTTAAGCTGACAAAACAAACAAACAAAAAAAAAAAAAACAAAGACCAGCCAAGCAGGACGTTTGTCCCAAAAAAAAAAATAAGAGTCAGGGATAGACTAAGATAGACTAAGAGGCCTGAAGTTGACTTTTGGCCTTCATGCTGGCCTCAAACTCACAGAGATCCGCCTGCCTCTGCCTCTGGAATGCTGGGATTAAAGGTGTTCGCCACCACCACCCCACTCATGCGTGACTTTTGAGTACACATACACATTAAAAATTAAAAACTAGAAAGCACAAAGAGTTTGTTTGTTTTACTTATAGGGTTTTATATTTAAATTCCCAATGGTCTAAGCAAATATGTATAAATACAAGTAAAGTTAGCAAACAGCCTCTGTTGCTAAAGAGCTAACTTTGGGTGGCCTGACATCTATTTAAACCAATAGCTTCAGCTAGCTAGGAAGAGGAACACAGCCTACTGATTATGTGAGCCCAGGGAGAAGGATGTAAAGTAGAATGCTAGCAGCAGGTGTGGATTGTTTCTTGCTATACTTAAGGAGACACAGGAGCTGGGTGATGGTGGTGGTGCATGCCTTTAATCCCAGCACTCAGGAGGCAAAGGCAGGTGGATCTTTGTGAGCTGGAGACCAGCACAGTCTACAAAGCTACCACAGAGAAACCCTGTCTCCAAAAATTAAAAAAAAAAAAAAAAAAAAAAGACACTTAGAAAAGAATGGCTTCTTTGCAACAATAACTAAATAGATTTTAAAATCCAAAAATGTAGGGTGTTGCATTGTTACAAAATCAGATTGCATCTAGATCCTAAAAAGAGAAACCTGAGAGATTTGAGTAATGACTGTTACAGCCTATGTCTGTAGGAAAGATATGGTTGAATAGTTCAGGCCTCTTTTCTGGGCTGAGTAAACACCATCAAGTGAGGTATATCTCCATCTCAGAAACCATGACTTTAGTCTTCGTTATTTTTGGATTCTGGCAGAGACCATGGAGAATACCCTTAATGTTCTATCTTTACCATTACTGCTATCAACACCATCATTTTCTTTTTCTTCTCCTCCTCCTTCTCCTTTGCTTTGATTTTTTCTTTTCTTTAAAGTTTTGTTTGTTTGTTTGGTATACAGTGTTCTGCCTGTATGCCAGAAGATGGCACCAGATCTCATTAGAGATGATTGTGAGCCACCCTGTCATTGATGGTAATTGAACTCAGCACCTCTGGAAGAGCAGCCAGTGCTCTTAACCTCTGAGCCATCTCTCCAGCCCGCTTTTTTCTTTTTCTTTCTTTTTTTCTTTTTTTCTTTTTTTTTTTTTTTTTTTTTTTTTTTTTTTTTTTTTTTTTTTTGTGATATAGTCTGACTCCATAGCCAGGCTGGGTTGGAACTCACTAAGTAGCCTAGGCTGGCCTTGAACCCATGCTGTTCTTCCTGTCTCAGCATAGCAAGTGCTTGGACACAGTAGTGAACCACTATGACTGATCCATGCTTACTTCCTGCATAACTTTTCTGTCACCTGTGATAAAACATCAGAAACAAGACAACTAACAGAAGGCATTTATTTGAGCTTCTGGTTCCAGAGGATCAGAGTCCACAATGTTGGGAATAGCATGGCAGCTAGCAGCTGAGAACTCACATCTTGAACTATAAACACAAGACAAAGCAAACTGCAAGTAGGAGAGTCATTTTATTCTTAAAATCCAACCCCCAATGATATACTTTGTCCAAGCCTGACTGCATTGATCTGGACAGGCAGGTCATTCTTCAGTGACAGGGTCCTAAGTGGGAGGTGGCCATTAGATGAGAAGATATAGAAGATAGAAAATCTGGGGTCTGGAGTTCTTACACAAGCTATGTCTTATGCCAAGCAAGCTTATTATAAAGTACAGCATCTTGGGTTGGTGGAGGGCATGGGAGGATGGGGGGGGGAGATGAAACAGGGGTTGATATATAAAACAAGGTTATTTCTAATTTAAATTTAAAGAGAGAGTCTTACATACTGTTTCCCGGGATGAAATGAAACCAAGTCAGCAGATATTGTCACACAAAGGGACGAAGTCAACAGGAAGCTAATCAAACAGTGTTGCACAAGGGGAACACAGGGTATCTCAAGAACATTACAAACCGGGCACACAGTGTCCTTGGACTGACAACCATAGCCATATACTGTGGGAAGAATTGGGTTCAGGAACTGAAGCCACAGATCCCCTCAAGGCCCTGGCCCCAGGCCATTACTGGGTCTGCCAAGCATGTTTTCTGGATCTGTCAAGCATGTTTCTTCTCTGTATATCAGGGCCTTAAGGAAAGCCACAGTCAATCTGGCCCTCAACTGTGACAGAGCACACTTAACCATCCCCCAACAGCACGTTTTAGGGTTTCTATCGCTATGATAAAACACCATGACCAAAAGCAACTCGGAGAAGAAAAGGTTTATTTAATCATATAGCTTGTAGCCCACCATTCAGGGAAGTCAGGCCCAGAATTCAAGGCAGGAACCCGGAGGCAGGAATTGATGCAGAGGCCATGGAGAGGTGCTGCTTATTAGCTTGCTTGGCCTGTTTTCTTACAGCTTCCAGGACCACCAAGCCACAGTGAGCTGGGCCCTCCTACATCAGTCATCAATTAAGAACATGGACCTGAAGAGAATCTAGTGGTGACATTTTCTCAACTGAAGTTCCCCTTTCCCAAAGGACTCTGATTTGTCTCAGCAAGACAGAAAACTGGCCAGCACAATCACCAGCTGGGGACCAATTGTTCAAATGCCCAAGACTGTGTGAGGCATTTCTCATTTGGACCATCACTGGCCTCTCACACACCTGGAGACACCTCGGGAATTTCCACCAGCCAGCAAGGGTTTCTTTTCTTGAAGGTGTTCTCTGGCATGAGGAGTCTGCTGTGCTGCCTGAAGAGCAAAGTAGATGTCTAGAGGATGTTGTGACCATGGCAAGTAGCTGACAGGAAAGAGTATAAAATCTTTATATACCTTGTGCCTCTTGGATGGGATTACTCACAATGGTTCCTAGAGTGTCCTCGGTGAAAGTAAGCCTCAGTCTAGACAGTGGTAACTGACTTGTTAACACATTGTTTGGATGCCTTTCCTCTTCCTGTCTCGTTTTTTAAGCCTATGATCCTTTACTT